TGCCAAGACCTTTTTATATGTGAAATACTGGTGACGTCCACTCCCCACGTCGCAAGCTGCCGTCGCTGCGGCAGCTTGCCCAAAAGTAACCTTTACCGAGAAACGTATGCGGTGAGCGCTATGCGTGCTTCGCATTGTTATCAGGAGTGCCTTATCATAAATTATCTGGTTCGGATGCTTGTTTTGTGCTTGTTCCTTATTAAAACGAGTGATGTGATCTGTTGTATGTGTGATATGCAGTTTTCGCTTCAATCGCTTATATATGTATTAGATTGCCGAATTGAATCAATCTTACCTGCAACTCATATACAGCTTAGCTGTAAAAAAAAAATGGACGTTAAGGGTCAAGGTTGACGAATAAACTTATTTCAATTAAAGTGCGTGTCATCCAGAACTTAGCGTCGTGGCTAACGAGCAGGAAGTAACAGCACCTGTTTTATCTCGCTTCCTTTATTAGACGCACGCACAGCAATGTTACCTCGCATGACTACGCGCTGCCTCTCGGTGATAACGGTATTACAGAACGGGGAGTCAAAAAACCGCTGAGCTAGAACGATTCGCCGCACCGAAATTGCATGCGTGGAAGCAGCGCTATCTAGTGAAATAGGCCAAGCGCGCGCTCAGAAGACGAAGCCTTCGCGCGTGTAACCACGTTACGTAATTCCTGGAAGAGCCCTCCATAATTATTACACAATGTCTAGACAACTTCAACGCGAAACTTTTACGAAAGCAATTAGTGCATGCGCAGACTCTTTAGCCGTTAGCAGTTTAGTTCCAAAACTGGAGAGAGAATATCTCGGTCAATGGGGATGTGGTGTGTAATGACATGGGAGTATAGTAAATTGTACGGGTTTTTTTTTTTTTCGCTACCCTTCATGTTTTGTTTTTGTTTTTTTTTATTAAACTTCAGTTGTAAGTCATCGCCTTGTCTGTGTGTTTACTCTTCTACTGGTCCGTCGTTTGTTTGCGCTGCATTCTCGTTCCGATGCATCACCAACTCGCCCAGATTTCTAGGCTTCCCCAAATATATTTGTGTTGGTTTCTTTTTTTAATTTTTTACACGCGATGATTGTTTTTATATCCTTTTTGGAGGGAACATTGCGTTGCATCTTGATTGAGTGGACTTTGTAGACACTGATTGATCACGACATCTCTGCAGCGTTGCAACGAGAGGCCACCAAAAGTAGTGTGACTAATTGAGTTTCTTGTTTTGTTTCCTTGGCAAGTCGATGTTTGCATTAAAAAGTAGCCGCACCTCCATCTCGTTTCCTGGATGATTGCTCAAAGATGTGCTCGCATCTAACGTTGAACAAGCAGTCGTCAAGCGGCTATACTGAAAAGGAAGAAAAACTCATCACAGTGATTATTCGCAATTCCAAAGAAGCTTCAGCGCCACCCAGCGGAAGAGAAGGGAAGGAGAGATGCGGGTTGTGCTATCGCCTATCCGTCTATCCGAGTGTGCAACGAAAACTGGCGGCCGAATGGTAAAGGCCCGTTCACACTGTTGCAACCCAGTACGACCGAGTGAGACCGACCGGTTTTTAAGCCTTTTGCGACTTCTTAGGACCGGATGCGCGGCAGCGGAGCTGGTCCTAAGAGATCGCAAGAGGCTTAAAAACCGGTCTGGTCTCTCTCGGTCGTAGTCGGTTGCAAGAGTGTGAACGGGCCTTAAAACGGAGGAAAGGGCTATTAAACGCACCATGGTGGAGTTGCGAATGGAAATTCTTGCTAAGGCGTTTCTTGCGGGGATGGAGCAACCGAGGTACCGAGAATCGGGCAGAAGTATACCAGTCCCCAATCCCCGTAAGGAACAGAGCCACTATAACAAGCCTCAAAGTAACGATACTTCGGCCATCTTGTGTGCTTGAATCCATTGTTGCCAGTCATCCGAAGCTTTGTCTGAAACCGCAGAAAGCACTTTTCCCTCCTCCTGAAACGTTAAAGCGGTCCGCGACAAGACAAAACGATATCGCCTCAGCTTTTTTGCACTGTATGATGCCTAAGCCACATTTTTGAATCGTAACGGTCGCTAACTGTCCCGCTCTGCGCACTAAGGACCAAAATGGCGGCGCCCACAAGAAAATCGGAAAACGAAGTGGTCGTTACCCGCAACGAGGTAGGGGTAACGACACTTAGGCATCTTGGTGCTTAAAATCACGGTTGCCAGTTTATTTAAAGTTTTATCTGAAATCACAGGAAATTTGTTTCCGTCCTCCATAAATGTTAAAAAAAAAAATAAAAAAATACAGTTCGCGACAGAGCGAAGCAATATTACACGACATTCCCAACACCGAATCTAATGCCGAGGAAGTCGCGCTTTTGAATCATGACGATCGGCAGTTCCGCCTGCTCCGTACTAAGCACCAAGATGGCGACGCCCACTACAATATAGGGGAACAGGGTGCCGATAATCCAAGTGTTGCTCATTTAGTGGCCCTTACACTGAGCACAACGTTTCTCCTTCCACAGATCGCAGCGAGGTTTCTCACAGTCATGAAAGTTCGGAAGGCGCTTAGGTCGGCCTGTCGAACTCTCCACTGGGGAGTAAGCGCCTTCGAGATAGCGTATCATATGTAATCGTCTCTGTAATCGGCGCATGATTGCAAGAGACGGGTTTTGGCCCGAGTCAGGTGAGTTTGAGGACATGCGGCGTGCCTGCCCGTGCGGTTTCTGCGGGTTTGTGACAGCACGTACTTCACCGTCCCGCCGAAGTTGTCACTGCTGTTGATTTAGTTTTGTGGCGTCATAGCCTTTTGAAGGGGCAGCATGAATTGTTTTCATAACGTATTTCACTATCGTTTACTACAGACGTGCCCGCAAGTAGTGCGCTTAATAGCTCAAAATACAAACCTCACTAAAGTCATAAGTGTGTCTGTGTGTGTGTGGGCGCGCGCGCGCGTGCGTGCGTGCGTGCGTGTGTTTGTGTGTTAACAGAAATCCAAACATTCAACTGTACGATTTGCTTTTGCTAAACCAAATTACATTGTAGTCCATTGTGGCTTTTATTATGACAGCAAAATCGACTGAAGAGAGCATAAAATAAAATTTGCCTGTTTTTTATCCCTTCCGCTTTGCCAAAACAAACGCCACAGTGGCCCACAATGGTCACTCGGTATAGTTTACCGGGAATAAGCATAGCCCAGGAAAAAGGTGTTTATTTTTTTATTTGCTTAGGTAAATTTATTTTCTATATCTTTTTTACCCAAACCAATAGACCATCTTGCTACAAACTTTGTCGAATTACACGGCAATCCGTTAAGGAATCGATCTGCGCGAGCCCTTCAAGGGGACAATATATTCCATCGGGACTTCCATGCGTATAATCTATTCAGAAAGGACTGTTCCGGACATCTCGGTGCAATAGCAACTTCGCGCAACTAGAAAAAGAGGAACTTAGTTGACTACAGGTTATCTATTACAGTGTGCAAGCTCGTCAGCCAATGAGATCGCGTGTTATGTCTGCCTCGTCAACGAACGCACTTGACGACAGACTCTTCATGTTGCGCCAGTGGGCGCCAGTGATTGCGCCCGTGATCGGCGCTCCCAAAAGCTCAGGTCATAATACGCGGGAAGTAAAATTTAGTGTATGTGCAGAGCATACATTGGCATGCCCCTTTAGATGGAAATTCTCCATTTTCCAGTTACAAAAACTGTCGCTCGAGGTAACCTCGAGCTCGCGTCAAGATCTTGTACAGCTAGGTGCTAACAGCTTTCTAGATCCGGTTGCCATACCGGTACAAGGGGAACGTTCGCTAGACATCCTGATGCGCAATGTGAAATGCTTATGGCAGTTCCCTTTGGGCGCAAAGCATGCTATAGCCTTTTCGTTTGGGCCTTTGTTATTTCGCTTAAACCGTGCGATTAAAGACTTACCAGGAGTGATGAACACTGATCATCTTTGCTTCAATAATAATAAGAAGTATGCAGTGGTGTATTTATTTGGCACCCACTAAGAACCATGTGGTTTTTGTCACGCGGTTTTTTCATTATTTGTGAAGGTGGCCAGCTGAACAGAATATAACAAAATATTATGTTTTGTATGTGTATTTTGTTCTATACTGTTCAGCAGGCCATATTCACGGGCAATGCTTGAGTAATATAATTAGTTGGGAAATTATTGAAGTAGAATCATCTTTACTCATTGCCTTTCAAGAAATGACATCTTGAAAGTTGGGAAGTGATCAGTAAGCAGCCCAGTGTTACCAGCAAAGCTGTTTTGTGTTACCATGTGCGGCTTATGTGCGGGCGGAAAGGTCACCAGCAAAGCGGATAGTTCAACAATTTTTTGACGTTAAACTTCTGCATAACAAACTAACAGCGCATCTGTAAGCTATGTACACAAAAAGAGCACCAAGTGTATTTAATTTACGTAACTTTGTGGTTATACTACCATATGATGCAAGTCCAAGAATACCTTGTAATCCCAATGGTTTTTCTTAGGGATCAGAGAGTGCCCAATTTCGGAAACTTGGGATTCGGGGTGTCTAAGTCTTGGAACAAATATATATGACTCTCAGGATAGATACGCTCAAAACTATCTAAGATAAACGATGAAATACTATCTGACCTTGGAGGTTCAGCAGTTGATGATAAATTGATAATCCAAGGATAACCATGTTTTACGAACTAGTCAGACATACACGTGCTAGGTTATATATTTGCATATACATAACAAGGAATTCTACTGAAATTACATTCCCAATTTACGTAACTTTTTGAGGTTTTCCTGCTGATGCGAGGACAGCGGTGTACCGTTTATGGGTAATAACCTTGCTCAAAACGAACAATGCGCGTTTCGTAACCTAATAACTGATTACGTACATTCAGCATCAATGCATTAGTTCTTTTGCAGCTCTAATTGATTTTTTTTACGGTGCTTAGGGTAGATTTTCCTAGCAACTGCGCGATTTTGTTTTGTTTTCGTTGCTAGTAGACACCTCAGTAGCAAGGAGAGGAAAGACACCGATGGAGAATTAAACTAAAAGAAAGAGCCGACTCACGCAACTGTCGATGCTCGTCGGGAGGTGGCACGATGCCCTTGCAAACCCTAGCGTAGTCGGGACAGCAGTCACTGCTGCCCGGTCGGTCGCAAAAAACGTCGCAGTAACACAGCGTTCCCAGGATGGGAACGGAGCAGTCGTCCTCGCGACCGTTGCAGCATGGATCTCTGCGGCCGGCGCAGAAGTCGCCGACTAGGTCGGGATCTAAGGCACCGACGAGTCCTACAAGAGCCAGAAGGAAAAACCGCCTCATCTCGGCCTCGCTGTTCTTGTTCACCGTCTGAACTCCGGCGTTGTGTGGCGGAGAGACGCGGGACGCGCTGCGTTTTTGAGGAAAGGTGGTCGCTGAGGGTTGATTCGGAAAGGCGCCGCTAGTGGCGCTGCGGACCACCGATGGTGTCGCCATCTCCATCAGAAAAACTCAACTAAACGCGACTAGCGGAAATGTGGTTATAATAATTTTTACTCTAAGTGAGGTGCTAGTAGAGTATTCTGAGGGTAACTTCTTTTAATAATGTCCTCCTTTTTAAACGTAGAAAAGAAACAGCGCAGCGAGAGAGATTTATTCGTGTCGAAAGACACGTGCGAGTCGTCTGCTAATGACGCTTGGACTAGTGGCGCCATCTTTTGCTACGCGTCGATACTACGGTCAAAAGAGCGTCTGCTAAAACCGAAACCGAGCTTTCTCGTCGGGCCAGTGTGTTGCGCTTTTTGTATGAGAAGCGGGTTAATATATATATATATATATATATATATATATATATATATATATATATATATATATATGTGTGTGTGTGTGTGTGTGTGTGTGTGTGTGTGTGTGTGTGTGTGTGTGTGTGTGTGTGTGTGTGTGTGTGTGTGTGTGTGCGTGCGTGCGCGTGTGTGTGTGTGTGTATATTACAAAGCCGCTTGCCCAAAAATACGTACAGAAGAAAAAAAGCCAAATGAGTTTTTATGGAAATGCGACGTATATATGTTACCGATCTAAAGCACAATGTAACGGAAATCAAACTTTGTGTGAACTTTCTGCTTGTTTATTTCTTGGTCTCCAACTTACAACTATTTTTTTGTGCACGAAGATTCCGATTATAACGGTCATTTCTGGATTTCCAGCGTTTTATTTTAGTGGCCAAGCCAACGACACTTTACGGCAGCAAACTCACCGTTTGTAACAAAAAAAAATAATAATAATAATAAGCCATTGCAGGGAATAGAAATCCAAAACATTTACTGTATCGTAATCCTACGAATGAAGTTGGTAGAAAAAATATACAGTGTGTGTTGAGCTGCGCTGAGCGTCTACTGCGCGGACTACACAAACTTTTTTTTTTTTCTTCTTAAAGATCGTTCATTATAGCGAGATGCCATAGATTATGTGAATGAAAGGTTACGTTAATGATGATTCCTGTACGATACAAGCTTCTTCGAACGCTAATAAAGCTGGCATTTTTCGAGGCGTTCTTTGTATAGAAATGTGGCCTGCCAACTATAACCCTGGTGCCCGACTACACGGGCCGGTTACTGACTGCACACCGGGTTCGCAAAAATGCAGTCATTGGTGAGCTTTATTTACTGAGCCCGGAAATTTTCTACATTCTGCGTCCCGTGCAACGGTTTTTCTTGACGCTCTTTCGTAAAATTACGCTTGGGACGTAAAAACCAATCCTATACGCCGAGCCTGGTTGGAATGATTAGTACTAGTAAGTATACGCAAAGCTCCAGAATGCCGAGCTCTGATTGGCTCTGATCGAAGGATAGTGGGTAGACGTGAAGGGCGCTTGCTTTGTGGTCTACCCACTATCCTTCAATCAGAGCCAATCAGAACTCGGCGTCTCTCTGACGTCACCACAACCCCTGCAAAAGAAGCAGACGAACTTGCGCTCCACATAGGAGTTCAGTAACTCCAGATTTTCGTGCCTGCTTATCTTAGAAGTGTACGTATGTACGATCACGCAAGCACAAACACTTCACGCGCTGTCTAAACGTCCGAACACACACAAAAAAGAAATGTTAAAGTTCGGACATCGGCATTCGATAACTCAAACCTTTTTTTTTTTTTATATTAGTAATTGTCATGTGGAATAAGGGTCACACTTAGAAAGGCTTGAGGTGGAGGTATACTAACCTCGGCCTTGTCGGTCACCGAAAAAGAGGAGTTCGTCGTCTTGAAATGATACACGCGTATTCCATGGAATTCGGCGATTCAAGACGGACGAGGAGTGCAAGATAACAACTCCGACCTGTTGAGGGGCATTTCAAGTCGGTGACGTCATTCTCGTCTTATCGGCAAAGATGCTTGCACTTCAGTGACTGGCCCTCGGGCATTTTTATTATTGCTCCTCTTATACCCTTGTTACACGGGTACACATAACCGCAGTTAACTCACCTTAGACTGCTGTTAAGCGGTACCACAGGTGCCGCTCTATTGTCTCGGATAGCTATTTCACAAGAAGTGAAGAGCGCGCGTGCACTTGTTTGATGGGTACTCAAGATGCTGAAGCGCACGTGCGACCATAGCTTTGACTGCGTAGCCACAAAATGTTGTCCGCAAGTATTGTACGCTAACTGGGGCTTAGCGTAACTGCAGTTAAGCGTACCCCTGTAACAAGGGTATATACTGTATAGGTCCCTTTTATTAAATATGCACCTCTTGGTTCTTCCTTGGGGAGGTTTCTGTCTTTTTTATTCGTTCACCAGAAAACAATTAGTTCACGAGGTGGGTATTTCTGGGTAACACTTCGCTGATATAGAACAAATTATCTCACGGAACATATTGCACGATAATTAGAAATTGAATTGATTGCCCGACAACATATTTTCAGTTGTCTAATAGTATTTTTCATTAATCATTTTGAAGATGGGGCACCCAAAATGCATGGTACTTACCAGGCACGTAGCCAGGATTTTGGTTCGGGGGGGTCCGCCCATGACAAAATGCTGTATAAGGGGGAGGGGGGAGAGGAAATCCCAGCAAAATGAGATTTTTTTTTTTTTTTTTGGGGGGGGGGGGGGGCCTTTAGGGTCTTCCCCTTGGCTACGTGCCTGGTACTTACGTATATCCCCATGTTTCAAGTGCAGTCTAGATTGCGTGCACCTATAAAATTAGCCGCGTAGACGAATCACAGAAAACAAGATGTAACTTACAACATATTCATCTAAACTAAAAGCAGGGATGGGCAAAATACATGCAAATATGTATCGAAATACAATTACAAAATACTTTGTCAAAAATGTATTTAATTACAAATCTACTTACATTTCCAAAAAAGCATTGAAGTACAAGATACAAGTACAACCAAATATATTTGATCTCCTCCAAATACTATTCCCCAAAATTTACCTCAGCGACTTCAAGGCACCTGCAACGGGTTTCTGGGTATCTCATTTTAATTTTGCATCGCACACTCGGGAGTTAGTGTGCGAGGCTCTAGTAAGGTAATAGAAACATAATCACAAAAAAAAAAAAATGTAATCAGCTTGGACGTAATAGGTGAAAAAAGTAATGAGTTTCAAGCAGCTTTTTTTGTCGATCACATTTTGGTATAGACCAACAAAGAACCGAGACGACCAAGACGCGCAGCACTAGCTAGAGAATTTTTTTATTGTTGCAACTCGCATCAGTTACGAAAATCTGGACGACCCGCGCATTTAGAATGTTCCAGGCAAAAATATAGATAGAAATCAGGCTGGAAAGCATCACAAGTTGTCACAGGAACTTATTTAGCCAGTCTGCCTGTGAACGTCGATTTCGTCACTATTCTTGCCCTGGACTAGCACCGTAATCACAAAGTCACTAAACGCTTGTGCTTGATTGAGAGACACTGCATTCGGTGCAGAGCATAGTTTTCTTACTGCTCTGGACAGTGACAATAAATTTGAGGGATGTATTTTCGCCCACAAAATTGTATTTAATTACAATTGTATTTGAAATACCCACGTTTTAGTATTTAAATACGCACGTCAAATACATTACCCAATTTGTAATTAAATACCAATGCAAAATACACAAATTATTTGAAATACGTATTTCAAATACTTGTATTTAAAATACTGCCCATCCCTGACTAAAAGTATAAAGAATTCAAGTGCAGACAGATTGAATTTATTTATTGATTTTTAAGTCATATTTCTATCCCACAACATACACTATAAAAAAATCCCGTGCGTCTACTTTCCCGCACAACACTCGGAGAGCCAATCACCGCATCTTACGGAGACAGCGAATAATGATGCCGAAACATATGTTTAGACCGAAAAACCCAGATATAGTTGTGACATTAAACAATGCAAAACGTCACGCTTTTTTTTTTTTTTTTTTTTTTTGTCTAAACATATGTTTCGGCATCGTCTTTCGCTGAGCTGTCTCTGTAAGCGCGGTGATTGGCTCTCCGAGTGTTGTGCGAAAAAGTAGACGCACAAGTTTTTTTTTTTTTTAGTGTAACCAAAAGAGCAATGATTGTTTCTCCTCTGCAATTTGACCAATACTTTGCAGATCCGCTTTCCTACAACTACATTATTTCACCACCTGGCAGTTAGTGAATCGGACTGGATTGGATTGTAATGGCTTAAAGGTGCCTTGAGGAGCTTTCTGAGATCGCCTAAATATAGCAATAACACACTCTGCGGGCTCTAAGCATCCTAGAAATCCATAAATCATAACGATGCGCGTCCGATTATTCCATTAAAGGAGCTGTGCAACGATATTCAATTGGAATGTTTTTCTCTCTACACGAGCTTACTGGCACACCTGGGACTCAAGGATACTCACACGCAACGCCACTGGCCAAGAAACACCTTTGTTGCGGTGTAATTTCAAGGACAAAAGCGATCATTTTCATTCAATCTCTCCTTTGCAAAATTTAATGACGTAACTCGGGGATCGCAGTACACCCAAGTGACGATATTTGAATGCGGTTCATAGATTGGACCCGAGCATTGCGTGGGCACTCGACTTGGGCTCGTGACAATTGCTAGCTCGAGAAGCATTCGGGTTGTGACCCGTGTCCAATCGCTGCAACGACGACAACAGCCGAGCCATAACAATGTCTGGAACTCAGCGCGTGTCCTGCGCTTTGCCAACCCCAGTGCGTGGCTATGATCAACACTGGCGGCATATAATCGGCTCCAGATCACGTGGCCGCTTGTTCTGGCTGCGAGTTGAGGGGGTGAACGCTGCTCGTTTTTCTTTAATTTTTTTCTGGGACTTCTATTGCGTGGGGTGAAAAACGAACGCGTGTTTCATAGGTCATTAACGTTAGGGATCCGTTTTAAGCGGTATTTGTGCAAAGTACAAAAATTGTTGCATTGCTCCTTTAAAAAGCGATGAAAGAACGAACACACCGAGATCAT